CGAGAGGGAGAGATGTCTTACTATAAATCAAAGTTAATAGATCTTAAGTAAACTAAATGACATGCAAATTAAACTAAATTTGCAAATACAAGATGCACTCAAATTAAATAAACATGTTCATTGTTAGATTAAATTGCTATTTACAGATAGATTTAGAAATTAAACTATTATATAATTACAAATCTAATCCTAAATAACACTAAAACAAATATTAATAGGGATTAAACTAACATCCTAAGATTGAGAAGAAACGTGAGCGCCATATAAATAATCATCTGATGAAACATTATTTATTATAAACATTAAACTAATGCTAATAAAAAAAAAGAATTATACCTTGTAGAAATATATGAAACAAAATTGTTGAAGCAAATATATGAACTAATTTAACTACTGAAATAATGAAAAATAACCTAATTCTATTGGATATTGTGCTGAAAATTGAAATCTGTAAGTTATAGTGAGCAATCGTTGGAAAATTAAAAGTTTAAAAATTTATCAAGTTATGTGTAGGGTTAGCTATGTGTTGAATGATAAAAAATTTTCCTTTTGATTCCTCTTCCTCGCTTGTAACTCCGCACTCCATGCATTTACTCAAACATGACAATTTCTAGCACACCCTCAAAATAAGGGTTAAAACCAATTTTTAGTCTTTTATCTTATAAAATCGATAAATTTTAGTTCATAACTTTATAATATGACACTTTTAGCTCTTTACCTTACAAACTTGGTAGGTTTTAACTCCTCACTTTACAAAGTTGGTAGGTTTTAGCTCATCACCTTATATTATGACACTTTTAACCTTTTATCTGTACGAATTGAAGAAAATAACTCTTATTTAATATCATATTATAATGTTTTATTAGTTCTGTTAGTTAATTGTCAGTTTTGTTAGTTGACTATTAGTTTTGTTAGTTGATTGTTAACATCCGTTAGTATTCCGTTAATGGAACTAACAAATAAAATTGAATTTAAATTTCATGTTTATTATAACAGAATACTAATGGATGTTAACAGTCAACTAACAGAATTAACAGAATGTTATAACCTGATGTTAGATGTGGGTTATTTTTTTTAATTTGTATTGGTGAAAGATTAAAAATATCATAATATAAAGTAAAGGGTTAAAACCTACTAACTTTGTAAGGTGGGAGCTAAAACTTACCAATTTTGTAAGATAAAGGGTTAAAACTGTTATGTTATAAGGTGATGAGCTAAAACTTACCAATTTTGTAAGATAAGGGACTAAATATTGATTTTTACCCAAAATAAGTGTTATATATATTTATAGTATTTTTTTGTAATTTATGAATTTGAAAAATTATTTATTTTTATTTTTATAAAAAATATAAAAATCATCTTATTCAAAATTAATAAAAATTTTAAATGATTTAATAAAATTTAAAAATTTTAATATATTATATATTAAATTGTTAATTAATTTAATTTTAAATAATAATATATCTAATTAAATAATTTTACAATAAATAATTTTTTAAATATAATTACTAAATATTAAAATATCTTTTCTAATAATATAATACAACCCTTCATATAATATATATATTATGATTATCTAAAGTTGGTATCAGAGCTTTTTCATTTACATATGGGTATGTGGTATAGAAAGTGGATAAATTCTAGTTTATAGACGAAACTCTTTACCAAAGATATAGTTGTATACATTATCTAGTTGTCTTATAATTTAACTTTCTAGTCTATCTGCTTTCGCGTAAGTCTATTTATTTGGTGTTAAAAATTAACTTTACATTAATTTGTGTCAGTTTTATAGTTTTCTTTCATATCTATTTGGTTAAGATTGCAGTAAAAATTTTTTTGTTTATTTTCTTCTAGTGTCAGATTACAGTTACTTATTAGTGTTAAAAGTCATATAATTTTGCTAAAAGTCAACATTTTGTAAATTGCCACCTTTTCCCATCTACGTAATCAATCTTCTTTGTAAGAAATTGCTTGGTCAAAATTGGTTACTATTTAGTCAACATTTGCTGACTATTTTGTCTTTTTGTTAATATTTGGCTTCCTTTTGTATTGCTATCCTTTATTTATCTGTTTTGTCTATCTATGTTATCTTTCGTCAAAATAATTACTGTTGATATTATTATCTATTTATTGTTGATACTATTATCTGTTGATATTATTATTTTATCTTTATGAGTTTAGATTATTTAGATCTAGCTATTTCACATCCTTATAAAAAACCAAAAGTAACTTTAAATAATCATAATATAGTGTGTAGTTTTTTAGGTTTTAGTCATAATTTACATTTTGATAATAGCCAGTTAAATAGCATAGTAGACCTAATTATAAATTTTTCAAAAAATTATAAAAAACAAAAAAGAAAAAGAAAAAGTAGTGCTCCAAAGGTTTCAAAACTCTGAAAAGCATTATAACAAAAATATTGTGAAACTAATTGAGAATCAAGACTACTTGCAACAACAAATTGAATTTGTCAAAAACAAAGTCAATTTAATTAATTCTCAATTTCTGAGTAACAAAGGACCAGATCAATTTGTTCAAAACCTCAGTCATCAAACAACTACCTTGATCCAAAATCAAGAAGAATTGTTTAAACAGGTCCAAAAACTTCAAAAATTAATTCTTGGGTTGAATGGGTGAAACTCCTTTCACTCAAAATTCAAACTACAGAGTAGCTTTAAAAGAAGCAGGAAAATTAGGAAATCCCTACGGATTAACCAATTTTCAACCCTTAGCAGTCCAAGATTAGGTATTAGTAGGACAGCAAAATACCCAAATTATTTTGCTACTACGAATCCTTGAAAACCAAGAAGAAATCTTAAGTGAAATAAGGAACATAAAAGATCTTTTAAAAGATACTCACTTAAGAACTGCAGAAATAGGTTAAGAGACTAAGAGATAGGATCTTCTTCAGGAAGCAAGTGAAATAATAGATTTAGAAAGAATCATTAGCGTAAAAGAAGATCTTAAACAGATAAAATCTAGTCTTTCGTCTTTATCCCACATAAAGGCTAAAGAACTAAAAGTCTCAAGAAATTACGTTGTGTTACCTTAAAATCCAAAAATTATGGAATCATCTAAAATCACAGGCAACCCTCTGATTAGGATGTTCTCCAAAGGAACACAAATTCAAGAATCTATAAAAGTTGACACTTTAATAGATCTTGAAGAATAAATAAAAAGATTCAAAACTCATAAATTTGACTTGGTCAAACCCAAGTATCTTTATGAAAATGCCAATTCTCTGTTTAGTGCTGGATCAATCTTTCAGCATTATCAGGAAGTTCAAATATCCTGTGTCAAAGACAGTGATAGTGTTATCCTAAGACTGTTAAGTGAGAATGGATATTTTAGTCTCGAAAGAATGAAATATTCATTGGTACACATAGGGTTAATCACTATAGGAGTCAAAACACTGCATAGAAAGGGTTTAGGTACAAAATGCATTTTAACTCTTTTAGACACAAGACATCAGGATATGATTCAATCCCTTATAGGATCTATCGAAATAGACCTATCTGAACAAGGGGGATTTGCTTATTTTACTCCCAATTTCCAAATGGATATAAAAGCCTTTAAACAATTTTTAAAAATAGGAATCATGACTAAAGGCTATTTTATGGCTGAGGGAGAGAAAAACCTTTTAGTTTGCATAGGATTCACTGGCCAAATAACTCATAATGGCACAACCAATTATCGAGTAACCAGTGAAGAAATATGTGAAATATTTGGAACAAAGGGAATTAAGGCAGTTCAAGCTCAACATTTAGATTCAACCTATCTGAATGGAACTGAATGGAACATAACCAAATTCCTCAGCAAGCCCATAATGGTACCCACTCGAAACACCTTATATCAAAATTATAAGGGAGAAACGAGTCTAAGCTTTAGTGATTATGAAAATATTTTTCCTGAACAAGAAGAAAATGAAGAAACAGTTGAAATCAAGATGCTACACTTAACTGAAGAAATTGAAAATGAAGAAAGTGAACCTTCTTGGCTTCAAACCTTAAGAAAAAGGGAAGAACATTTTGAAAAATGGGGACCAATCAAAGACAAATAGAATGAAGAATGGGCATTCATTGAAACTTACTTTTCTTCAAAAGGAAAAGAAGTTAATGTTGAAGAAGTCTTAACACTGAAATACGATGGGGAAGACATTGAGGATCAAATTCTAGATCTAGAACTTCCAGTTGAGGCTTACTTTAAAAATCAAAAACCCATACTTCAAATTATTCATGAATATAAATCCCAACAGGAAAAAATATTCATGAATGTAACCCCTGAAAATCCAAATCAGAATCCTAACTAGAGCCTTAGTGCTCCATCTAGATCCGAAATTGAAGAAAATTCTAGAGCTCCTAGAACATTTAGAGTCTTCGGTTCTAGAACATATCAGTTAGGAGGAAGATATCCCATACCTCAAGCAACACTTGAGTATAGGGGAGAAAACAGAGAAAGGATACAATTTGGTAAAAAAATGGAGATTGACCCAAACTAGTTACCTGCTGCAAAACAGCAAGGGACTATTCTAGAATTACCAAGTTGGAATCCACAGCTTTGGGCAGAAATAATAGATCAATGGGAAAGAGACGCTTGCCGAGTATGGATCAATTGATTTATGGATGGTGAGATGTTCGAATTCCTGGAAACACTTCTAGGCCCCACTGTAGAATTGTACTGGAATACCTTTAAAAGAGAGAACCCAACCTTAGTAGTTGAAACACAAGACTTGGGGGGGAAATCCGTACAATTTTACCTCTTTAATCAAAAAGATGTTCTTAGGATCTGATGTAACTGTTGATTCCGAAAGAGCTTTACAAAATAAAGCTATTGAGGAACTTGAGGTCCTTCAGTTAACATCTTGGTATTAAACCGAGTCCTTTTGCAATGATTTTCTTAAACTTGTTGCTAGAACGGGATATGGATTTGATGACAACTTAAATAACAGAATCTTTGATAAGCTACTAAGCACCCTTGGTAAACAAATCAAAGAAAAATGGCTAGCTTCTAACCCTGCACCTCAATAGGGAGTAGGCCCTAAGATTTTGTTTATATATAAAATATTAAGAGAAAAATGTGTAGATATTCAAATCCAAAAATCTCTTAAAAAGCAAAAATTTGGTTTTTGTAAATCTGTAATTAGGGGATATGGTTCTTCAAAAGAATCATATAATAGGAGGAAAAAATACAAAAAATCCCAAAAAGAATATAAAAAATCCCAAAAAGAATGTTTTTCTTGCAAAACCAAACCCAAAAAATTCATAAAAAAGAAAACATATTCTCTTAAGCCTAGTAAAACCTTCAAAAAAGGAAAAACA